CACCATATAACCTAAGTGGGCTACTCCACCCATTACCAATTGGTTTTAGGATGGAACCTCACTTGGGCTTGGTGGAGTGGGCTTGGGCCTTGAGTAATTGCTCTCAATAATTCCCTACAAATTGATATGATACATGATTCAAGATTTAGTCATTCGGAATATGATGTAGCATGTAACGTACGAATAGAAAGAGAAGAAATTTATTGTAGACTGAACTTTGAAGGAATAACTCTTCTTATTTGATGATGCAATAGGCTTGCAGAACAATTTGAAGTCATTTTTTTATATTTTCCCGAAATCAAGATGTACAGGTAATATTAACAAAATAATGAGCAAAAAAATTAGAATTTTTTTAATAAATGCAGATGTTGAGACTAGTATCTCATCTAGCGCTCGGAATACCTTTTACCAAAAATCGAAAGCTACTGCTAGATGGGCATGCTCGGCATCTGAGCATTATGCGTAGTACCAAGAATAAGAAACAAGAACACATGCACTAAAGCTAGTTTATGCATCTAACAACAGGCATCTGTTTAAAATTTAAGCCATTTCTTTGCATTTGTTTAGGTTATTGGTCATACTGTGTTGGCTTCATTACTTTGGAATCGCGCCAATTCAGTTGATTTGAAGAGCAAGACTGCAATAACATCCTTTTACATGTTCATATGGAAGGTAATTTATTTACTGGATACAATGCAATAACTTGAATTCTGCACTCATAAAAGAAACTTATTTTTGGCACTTGTTCTTTCATAAAAACAGTTTATGATATAATTTTATTTGCTCTTACATCTTATGTATACCATATCTTATCATTTAGGATTTAGCGTGTGTATTACACTTTCACGAGATCTTGCTTATGATTATTATGTATAATCGATTCTTAAAGTCCATTATCAACTTGACACCTGCTTAACCACATATTTTAGACGCAATTTTTCTAAACTTTACTCTCTGATGCTTGCACTTTTGAGTTCAGTATAATGTGACATTTTGTCAAGAGTAACTTACAAATACACCTGCCCGCTCACCCCCATAATCTCTCCCAGGGGGTAGAGAGCACCAAATAACTTTCATTTGACTAATTTGTTGAATCATATGTAACATTCTTATTCTGCTGTGCAGCTCTTTTACGCGGAGTACCTGCTAATACCTCTTGTGAGGTAAATGTGTGGCACTCATAAAAAGTGGCCTGCTGTTTGTCTCTTTGGCATGGATTGAGTTGTTTCGATCAGACAATGCATTACAATCTCCAAACCCGATTTTTTAAATCTGGTTTCTTTGCTAATTTGGAATTTAGAACACGTGACATCATCTCATCTGATTCTTGATGGTCTATGATGTACAAGGAGCACGTAGCTATGTGTTCTATTTGAAGCATTTGTGACTGTAACAAGATCATGAATTTGAGCTTATATGATACCTTCAAATAAATGGATTATGGGTGTCAAATAGGACCGAGTCGTCCCCTTATTTAATTCTTTTATTTTTTTAATTTAGGATGGTTTTTACTAATTTAATTTAAGCTTTTGTTTTTGACATTCATGAATTTTTATTTATTATTTTTTAGAAAAAATTGAAAAATGAGCCGCCTCAGTGGGAAACCAAGAAGGCCATGGCCTAGGTTGGGGACCTCCATGGCACTTCAAAGATATTAACATGTATGGAGCATAGTTTTTTAAGAATATTTTGTCACGTAGACTTAGCTTTCACATTAATAGTGAATGACAAGTCTACATATTAGCTTTGAATTCGTCTTGCATAATATTGCTTTCGTACAAGGGTTGCCCGTCCAAGGTATATTCTGTAAAGATGAAGACAGGCAATGGA